CTCTCTCTCTCTCTCTCTCTCTCTCTCTCTCTCTCTCTCTCTCTCTCTCTCTCTCTCTCTCTCTCTCTCTCTCTCTCTCTCTCTCCCCCCTTATCCATATGGTCTGAATAGGTGGCGTTGGGGCCGCACAACAAGCTGCAGAATCCGCATGATCAAGTCCTCAGGTAATTGCTCCCAGCAAGTTCCTTTGAAGACCCCACGAAAGCCCTTGGCATTTTGTACAAGGTCTCTTTGCTGAGACTCCTCGAATGTTGATGTAACAAGGTCAAACCTCCTCACAACATAGTCGAAATGGTCGCTAGGGCGACTATACTTAGCCCAATTTTCCCGAAAATGGAGAGAAGACAACTTGGCAGCAACAGGAATCAACCGCTCGAACTCCAAAGCACCAGAATAGGAAATAGTGTGGCAGTACGTCTTGTTAAAGGAGTTTTTCCGAAGACGGCGTAAGTCTTCCACTACAAGTTTCCTCTCCTCAGGAAGCAGTTTCACGAAGACTTTTCTTCGGTGTCAACCATCTCACAGACGCGGTCGTCACACCAGTGGAAGTCGCACCCATCCGGCTCCCTGTCGCTGACATCGTTGAAATACCCTGATCCCCTTTGCAAAGTAGGGATATCCCCATGTGGCTTGTACCGTTGGGCAACAATGTCCGCAGCGACGACATCGAGCTATGTCACTCCACTCAGATCCGAATCGTCATCGGCTTTAGCGATCAGCATGTCCGTCTCACGATCTCGCACCTCAGCGAACCAGCCATTGGCATGAAAAAACACGTGAGTGATTTCAAGCATGATCATTCGCAAGGGAAAGTGCCTGCCATCCGATCCCACCAAGTCAAAATCGATAAGGTGAGCCTCCATCACTGGAACGCGCACCCTTCTTTCCATTTCGTCGAGCTGATGCACATTTGAGCAAAAGTCAAACATTTTGCTGGCAAGAGCGATGTCGCTCTCGTGAGCCACCGCCATCCCTGCCCGATGAAAGATTTTCGCCAAGTAATCATCTGAGTGTGAGAGTGCAAGCTCTCTCAATTTGATCTCCAAATCGCAACAGACCGGGTCCTCCATGTCGAAATCCGGAAAGGATGCATCACGCGCTTTTTCTAAAAGGTCCTCAAAGAGTTCGGGCGATTCGTTTGCGAAATCTCTAGTCATGTCTACAAAGGCACGTTGCATCGACATATCGGGGCAGTGCAAATCTGCGCTGATCTGTTTGCCAAATTGGTCAACGAAAGCGTCGCGATCTCTCTTCAGCAGATCGGCATTTCGTTTGCGCCTCAGGAACGCACATAAATCCCAGAAAAAGGCGCTGATCTTACCATCATCCAGATAAATGAATGCCTCCAGAGTGGCCAGTTGGATCGGGAGGACGTGATACCTCTCGAACAAACTTCCGTTGAAAGCCACACGGAGTCCAGTAGTGCGTCGTTGTAGCACAGCGACCACAGTCCTTCGCCGAAGAGTCCCGCCATGGGTCTGAGTTCGCTCATCTCTCTGGTACTGCCGTGGCCAGTCGAACGAACAGCCTCAACAAGATGAAGTACAGATAACAAAAAGGTAGATTGCAATGAAAGACGACGTGTTTGGAACAAAACAGAGATGCCACAATGATACCTTTGTTTGAGGAAATCAGACTTCTGGGCTCCTTCGTTTGAAGAAACCAAACTTCCGGACTTTCCGTTTGAAGAAATTGAACTCCTGGACTTCCTTTCTTGGATTCCTCTCTCTGATTGGCAGGACACGGCAGCAGCAGGAGGAGGAGGAGGAAGAAGAAGAAGAAGAAGAAGAAGAAGAAGAAGAAGACGAAGAAGAAGAAGAAGAAGAAGAAGAAGAAGGAGGAGGAGGAAGAAGAAGAAGAAGAA